CTCCCCACTCCACAAATTTTCCCCCCAAACCACCAAAACCTCCCAGAATCCCAAATCCCCCCCCAAGACCCTCAAATTACACCTCAAATCGCCAAAATTCCCCCCCCAAGACTCCCAAATTCCTCCCCATAAATACAGGGGGTGCTCCTAAACAACCAAATCCCCTCTCTCCAAAATTCCCCTCTGGACTCCAAATTCCCCCCAAAACCCATTTTTTTTTCCCCAAAACTCCGAATCCTCCCCCTAAAAAACACAGAGTTCTCCCCAAAACCCCAAATTTCTCCCCCAAGCACCCAAATGTTACAAAAAAATCCAAAAATTCCTGCCCTAAAACCCCAAAATTCCTCCCAGGACCCCTGAAATTTCCCCCCAAAACCCCAAATTTCCCTCCAAACCCCCAAATTCCCCCCCCAAAACTGGGAGAACCCCCCAAAAAAATAGCAACCCCTCTTCAAAACCCCCCCAAAATCACAACTCCCTCCCCAAGAATAAACAAAAAAGCTGAGAATGTATATTTTTTTATTTCACATTTTTCACACCTTGGGCAGGGGTGTAGGGGGGGGAAATCCCAGAATTCTCAGTATTTTTCACATTCTTTTGGAGAGAGGAGGTCTTCCCAACTTTTCCAGCACCCCCCCAGGCAACCGCTCCCCAAAATTCTTGCCCCTCAGCCCCCCAAATTAAGTGCACATAAATAAAAAAGAGGAAAAAAGAAAAAAAAAGGAAAAAAGTAAAAAAGAAAAAGAACAGAAAAAAAGACACCCTCACCCCAATTTGGGGGGAGGGGGATGAAGGTAAAATTGCGGGAGGCATCGAACCCCCAGGAAAAAATTGAGGGACCACTAAAAAAATTGGGGGAACCACTACAAGAAAGCTCATTTTGAAAAAATGTTAAAACCATTAAATAAATGGCAAAGAGGCAAAAAACTTGAAAAATTTGGGGAGGAACCCCCAAAAAATGTGTCAAAAATGGGGAATTCCCCCTTGAATCCAAGGGATTTGGGGGAATTTTTTTCCCAAAAGCTGTGGATTTTTGAGGGTGGCAGGGGAGGAGAGACCCCCTCCAAATTCTGGGGGTGTCCTCGAGATCCAGCGAAGGCATCTGGTCCTGGAGGATGTCCCCCTGGAGGGGGACAAAAAGGCCATTTTAGAAAAATTAAGGAAATTTAGGGGGATTTGGGCAAATTTTAGGGAATTTTGGGATTTTTTGAGGTCTGGGGGGGGGTCTTGATTTTGCGGGGTCTTGCGTTCTGGGGCCGAATGATCATGTCCAGGGAGGCCACAGCTACCAGAAACAGGCGTGAGACACCAATGAGATGGGATTCTGCTCAGGAAACCATTTATTCAGCTCAGGAACAAACTCAGATCCAGAGACAGCCCCAAACAGAGGCAGGGAGATGGGGTTTGAGAACCAGGGTGGTGTTCAAGGTCAGGGACCACTGGGAACACAGCAAGAGAGAAACCCGAGGGGCCCAAACCCAATCAGAAATCCCTGGGTTGCCACCCCACAAGGAGTACAGGGTGGAGTTTCTTCCTGGGCTCACAGGGCCCATCCTCTGAGGCAGAGGGATGGAATTCCGTTTTGACCATGGCACTCACTTTAATAATGTTCATTTGAACCTCAATCCTTGCCTCCCTGGGCAGGGGCACCTCACACAAAAACTCACTCAGTAACAGGCACCCCCTCCCTTCATCATCCCCAAACTTTGGGTGTCTCATTCCAGACCCCACCCCACCTCCCCAGTCCCAACTCCAACCCATCCCATCCCTGCTGGATATCAAGACCCCCTTCCCAAGCCCTATTTCCCCCATTTCACACCTCCCAATCCCCATCCCACCCATCCTGCCCCACCCAATGCTCATCTCACCCCTCCTGATTTGCATCCCACTTCACCCAGTCCCCTTCCAACCCCATTCCACCCGATGCCTTGAGGAAGGCTGACCTAGAACAGAGGCTGGACAGAGTTAAGAATAAAGTTTATTAAAAGGCCTTAAAGGACACACCTAGAGCCTGGACAGGGCTACACCTGAGATGGACCAAAAATGGTCACAAAAATGGACAACTCATCACGAGGTCTCACATTTTTAGAAATTTAAGTCCATCTGCATATTGGGGTTCATTGTCCAGTTACAGCTTCAGATGATGAAGTCCCATCCTTCTTGTTTTCACTCTGCAGTCCACCCTTGTTTATGCTTTTGGGCCTGGAACTTGTAACAATTGTCTTTGGTATCAAGCTAGAAAAGGAATTGTTTTGTCTACCTACTCTGTGAAGAGAGCTCACTAACACTTAATATGAAGTTCAAAACTACAAACCAAGACAGTGCAGAATATGAAAAATATGAAAGCTAAAACTAAAGACATCACACCCTGAGGGGCTGTGGAATCCAATAATTTTGGGTGGGACTGAGTAGTTTTCAGTGGCATTGAGTGGTTTTGAGGTGACAGATCAAAGCCTCTAGGCTCCTTGAGTGGCAAGAAATGGACACAACTCCACCAAATACCCCCAAAATCCCCAAATACTCCCAAGTATCTCCTTGAATCCCAGATTCCCTTAAAGCACTAGTGAAAAGTGAGGCTTTAGATGCCTTTGATGAATTCATAGATTTTGCCCCAATTTTGTCTGTTTTACAGGAATGCTGATGAATCAAGAGATAGAACCAAACCAGAATGACCGCCAGCCCAGTGTGTTCCCAACACAGATCACTGGGAACGTGGGCCATCAGGGCTCTGCCCAACGTGAGTCCTCTGATGGAGAATGGACCTGGAGCAGAACACGAAGCTCTTCCTGCACTTGGGGCACTCACAGGGCTTCCCTTACCGGTGCCTCTGTTGGTGTTTGGTCAAGTCAGAGCTCCTGGAGAAGCTCTTCCCACATTCCCCACACTCATAGGGCCTCTCCCCAGTGTGGATGCGCTGGTGGGCGATGAGGTTGGACTTTTGATTGAAGCCCTTCCTGCAGTCAGGGCAGTGGAAGGGCCTCTCATCTGTGTGAATCCGCTGGTGGACAAGGAGATGGGAGCTGGTCTGAAACCTCTTCCCACACTGAGGACACTTGTAGGGCCTCTCCCCAGTGTGGATGCGTTTGTGGGTATTGAGGGTGGAGCTCTGGCTGAAGCTCTTCCCACATTCCCCACACTCATAGGGCCTCTCCCCAGTGTGGATGCGCCGGTGGGTGACAAGGGTGGAGTTGTGCTTGAAGCCCTCCCCACAGTCGGGGCAGCGGAAGGGCCTCTCATCCGTGTGAATCGGCTGGTGCACGAGGAGAGTGGAGCTGCTGTGAAACCCCTTCCCACACTCAGGACACTCGTAGGGCCTCTCCCCAGTGTGGATGCGCTGGTGGGTGATGAGTTTGGAGTTGCAGTAGAAGCCCTTCCCACATTCCCCACACTCGTATGCCCATTCCCCAGTGTGGATCATCTGGTGGCGGATGAGGAATGAGCTCCGGCTGAAGTTCTTCCCACACTCCAAGCACTTGTAGGGCTTCTCCCTATCCTGAAGCTGCTCATGGACCACCAGCTCAGAGCCCCGGCCAAATCTCCGGCCACCTTCCTGGCACAGGGTGGGTCTTTCCTCCTCAGAGCACCCTGGAATGGGTTTGGAGCCCCTCTTCCTGCGGGATCTCTGAAGCTTTTCTTCCCTGTTGGATTTCTGCGCTGTGGAGCTGCTCAAACTGGCCTCTTCCACAAGGGTCTGCCGTGGGGCTTTGTCCTCCCTGGTCTCCATCCTCAGCTCCTTGTCTGGGGGAGGAAGGACAAGGAGAGGATGGGATTTGCCTCTGTGCCAGAGGGAAGGGGAAGGAGATCCCCCCAGTGCATCCCCGGCAGGACGGCGTCGGCAGCGGGGTTGTCCTGCAGACGGGGGCTGTGCTGGGCTGGGAGATGGAGCAGGAGAGAGGGGAAAAGGGGCACTGACTTCCTCCTCACCTGCCTGGGTATCATGGGGCATCTTCTTCCTCACAGCCCCCTTCTCCGTTTAGTCGAGGTTTCGGCATGGGAAATCCTGCTTTGGGGAAAAAATACAATGCATGAGCACGATGGGTTAGGGGTTTCCTTCTCTCCAAGTCCATCTCTAGAAGTCCCCAGCCATCCATAAACAGCACCCAAACACCAAGATTCAGCCATGAAAATGCCTCCCAGGAGTTCCCCATCTCTGGCCTCTCCCCTTTGGTGTTTAGGGGTTCCCCCCTGTCCTCCCCAGGCTGCTGGGAGTGCCAGAAATCCCAGAAGTTCCCTGTCTCCATCTCCCCACTTAGGGATGCTGGGACTCCCCAGTGTACCCCCAAGGGGCATTTTCTGCTCAGCTTTGGAGTTCTTCGTTCTCCAAACATCCCCCCCAAAAATCCCAACCCAGAGACCCCCCAGGATATCTGGGCGAAGCTCCCCCTGTTAGCGTTCAGGAACACACATAATCACGAATGATTATAAGAATGCGCTTTATTGAAGAGCTCTGGGTGTCAGCAGTACACATACCCAAACCTGACCCGTCTTGGTTTTGAACTGAACATGTTTTATACTCTATCATTATAGAACTTACATATTCATTGTTTAACTTACATTGTTCTATTGTATGCATTGTTTTTACCCAAGCATGGATTTCTCGTGATCCCCCCTAGCCCCCAAACACTGTTCCTCATGTTCTTTAAACAATAATTATATCTAATCACATCTAACAATTGTATCATTTATCATATACTGATTACACAGGTGCAGTTTGACATGATCTTTAACAAGTACAAGGCCTAACATTTCTCAGGGCCTACTTTTCCCAGGGCTTGGCAAACCTAACTTTCATTCTAAGTCCCCGAATTTTCTAAGATTTTAAGACCTTTTACTATCACCCCTCCCTGGTCACCTGTGGGATGCGGGGTGATGATGCCAGGGTGGGGGCTGTGAATTCAGGGAGTGCTTGATCTGGTGGTTCCTTCTCCTTTCCCTGATCCTCCTTTGTCCCTCCTCTTCCTCCTGCTTCTTGTCTTCCATTCATCTTCCTTCTCCCTAACTCCACCTCCTTTTCCTACTTCCATTTCTTTTCGCTCTCCTTCATCCCTCCTCTTCCATTCCTCCTCCCCCAGGAACAGCAAAACGGTCGGTGCGCATTCCTGAACCCCTCACAGCCCACAGGAGTGGGGATGGAGCCGAGACAGGTGGGGATGCGTGGAGGCCGAAGAACCAGCCAACTTCAAAATCCAAGCTCTCCTGTGGAGAGCTTCTCCCTAGGCGAGACATTTTTATCTCATGAAGAGAAAAAGTGTCACTCCCAGAGGCCTTTCAGTTGAACATGTTAATTTGTTACACCCCGTTGGTTTCCCTCCCTATCAATCCACCCTGCTACATGTATCCCAGTTTCCCCCGCCCCTCTCCTTCCCTATAAATGCCACAGCTTTTCCCCAGTTCGAGGAGCTGCTGTCACCAGCTCCCTTCACTGAGGGCCCTGCTATAATAAAGGCTGTTTCTCAGTGGAATGCCATACAGCTCTCTAGTCACCCTCTCTGCGTCGCCTGCACGCTGCCGCTGAGCTGAGATCACTCGCCGGGCAGAGGACGTGCCTGTGCCCCTGGGCAGTCCTTTTCAGGACGGCTTCTTCAGGGTAGTCGTGGCACCCCTGTCATCGACAGTGCCACGGCAGGGATGGGCAGTCTGGGGCTCTCAGCTGCTCCCACCCGCTGGGGACGGGGGGAACCCGGCCCGGGGAAAAGGACAGGAAAACTGGGGGCTGCAGATCCAACTTGGTGCTGGCTGGGGACTGCCAGCCCTTGGGGCTCCTCTGGGGAGATCCAGAGGGGGGAACGCAGAGATTGCTGGGGGATCCCAGGAGTGGCAGCACTGGCAGGGACGGGGGTAACTGGAATCTTAGTGGGGTAAGTGGGAATCATTGGGAATGAGCACAAGCATGCTGATGGTAGCTGGGATATACTGGGAGTGACTGTGACCATACTGGGGGGACTGAAATCACACTGGGAACAATGGGAACTGTGCCGGGGACAACTGGGAGTGAGTGGGAGTGACTGGGTCTACACTGGGGGCAACTGGGCATGACTGGGACCATGCTGGGAGGGGCTGGGATCATCTGGGGAGGGACTGTGACTTTACTGGGGGCAGCTGGGTGCAACTGGAATCACACTGGGAGGAACAGGGAACAAGTGGAACCATCCCGAGGGCAACTAGAATCCTACTGGGATCACAGTGGGAGCAGCTGGGCCATGCTGGGCAAGACTGAGACCATACTGGCAGCAACTGGGACTGCACTCAGGGTGACTGGGAGCAGCTGGGAGCAACTGGGATCAACTGGAAGGTACTGGAACCATGCTGAGGGGACTGAGACCACAGCTGGGATCATACTGGGAGCAACTGGGAGTAACTGGGAAATAATTGGATTATTCTGAGCTAACCAGAACCCTGCTGGGGAAACTGGGATATATTGGGAGTGTCTGTGACCACACTGGGAGCAGCTGGAACCACACTGGGGGCAACTGGGAGTTAGTGGGACCATGCTGAGATGGACTGGGACTATTCCAGGGACAACTGGGATCATACCAGGAGGAACTGGGAAGAATTGCAACTATTCTGGGATCATACTGGGATCACAGTGGGAGCAGCTGGGTCCATGCTGGCTGAGACTGGTATCCCACTGAGGGTGACAGGAATCATACTGGGATTAACTGGGAGTGGCTGTGAGCAACTGGAATCATGCTGAAAGCAACTGGGAGGAGCTGGGAATGACTGGGAGCATGCTGGGGCTGACTGAGATATACTGGGAGAGACAGGGAGTCCCAGGGATCACACTGGAGGCTACTGGGGTCATACTGGCACTGACAGGGAGCAACTGGGGGCCACTGGCCTCATACTGGGAGTTACTGGGATCATACTGGGAGTTACTGGGATCATACTGGGAGTGTGTCATGGAAACTGGAAAATTGGGGGAAAATGGGAAAAAAACAGAATAAATTAAAGGAAAATAGAAGGGGAAAACAGAAAAAAAAAATCAGGGTGAAATAAAAAAAATGGGGAAAAATCAGGAAAAAAATTGGGAAAAATTAGACAGGAAATTGGGGAAAACCAGGAAAAATGGGGGGAAAAAAGAAGAAAACTCAAGGAAAAAATGGGAAAAATTGGGGAAAAAAATCAGGAAAAGAAAGTGGAAAAAATCTGGGAAAAATCAGGAAAGATTAGGGAAAAAAGGGGAAAAAATCAGGAAAAAAACAGGAAAAGAAGGAAAAAATCAGGAAAAACCAGGAAAAGTTGGGAAAAAAATGGGAAAAATCAGGAAAAATCTGGGAAAGAACTTGGAAAAAATCAGGGAAAATCCAGAAAAGAATGAGGAATAAAATGTGGGAAAAAATGGGAAAATATTGGGAAAAAACCCAGGAAAAATCAGGGAAAACTTAGGGAAATTTGAGAAGAAATTGGGAAAAAGCCAGAAAACATTCAGGTAAGGAAGAGAGAAAAATCAGGAAAAAATGGGAAAGGCATGAAAAAATTGTGAAAAATCAGGGTGTAAATTTTTCTCTAAAAAATTCCTTTTCTCTCTCTCTGATTCTGCTGCACTTCTGTATTTTTCCTTCTCCACCTGGATTTCTCAGTCTCCTTTGGGCTGAATTCTTTTTGGGGTCCTCCCTTGTGGGGAGTCCCACTTATCTCAGTTCTTAAGGTTTGAAGAAAACTCCTGGGCTCGTTAGCATCTTGTTTCTCGTGTTTATTAGAAGGTCATTACAAAACTTGGCAGGCCTCTCCAGACTGACTGCACAAGCTCAATTCACCACACCCTGGCTCATTTCGCTCTGATGGTACAAAATGGCCCCGAACCCCGTGGCCTCTTCACCTTTATATCTATTTTTACCCTATTAACTACAGACACGTGTATTGTTATTATGTTTTAACAAATAAGTTTTCTATATCTACTTACGTAATTAAAACTGTGACTAAGTCTAAACCAACAATTCTTTGTGCTCCCAACAACTGCAGAATCATGGAGAAGGAAGAACTAAAAACCATACCTTTTTTCCTCCATCTTTACTCCATGTATGAAACCCCCCTAAAATCTGTATTTTTCACCTCAGTGACATATTAAACATTTTACTACTTTCTATTTAATCTTTTATAAATCTTAGTTTGCCCGGGGATATTTGGAAGCCCTTCTGTCAATAGCAAATAGGATTGATACTTTTTCAGAGAATAGAATAAACAGAGAAATGCCTCTACGTTTCTGGACTCCTACACAGGGAAAATATCAGGAAAATAAAGCTGAAAAGACCCTGGAAAAATCAGGAAAAAATTGGGAAAAATATTGGAAAATTGAAGGAAAAAACAGAAATATTTGAGAAAAAATGGCAAAGAAATCAGGAAAATAAATGGGAAAAAATCAGAGAAAAAAATGTGAAAAAAAAAGGAAAATCAGGGGACAAACAGGAAAAGGATAAAAAAATCAGGAAAAAATCAGAAAAAATCAGGAAAAAAATCAGGAAAAAATTGGGGAAAATCAGAAGAATTGGGAAAAATCAGGGAAAAAAAATGGGAAAAAACCGAGAAATACCAAAATAATCAAGGAAAAGTTTGAAAAAAAAATTGGGAAAAAATTGGAAAAAAAAATCAAAAAAAGAAAAAGGAAAAAAATCATGAAAAAAACCCAGGAAAAATCAGGAAAAAATGGGGAAACTCAGGAAAAAGACTGGGAAAAGACTGGGTAAAATCGAGAAAAGAGAGAGGGAAGAAACCTGGAAAAAATCAGGAACAATCAGTAAAAAAATTAGGAAATACAGGGAGAAATCAGCAAAAGATTTTGGAATAATCAGGAAAACATTGCAAAAAGGGAAAAATCAGGAAAAAATGGGGGAAAATCAGGAAAAAAAAAATCAGGAAAAAAATTGGGGAAAAAAAAGGGAAAAATCAGGAAAAGAAAGAGGAAGACTAGGAAAAAATTGGGAAAAATCAAGGAAAAAAATCAAGGAAAAAATGAGGAAAAGAAATCAGGGGGAAAAAACCTTGGAAAACTGGGAAAAAAACAGGGAAAAAACCAGGAAATATTTAGGAAACAAACAGGAAAAAATCAGGTAAAAATGAGGAAAAATAGGGGAAAAACAGACAAATCAGAGGAAAAAATCAGGAAAAAAATGTGAAAAATATGTGAAAAAAATTGTGACAAATGCGGGAAAAATCAGGAAAAGAAAAAGGGAATAGAACCTAGAAAAAATCAGGGAAAAAATCAGAAAAAAAAAGAAAAAAATTGGGGGAAAATCAGGGAAAAAATTAGGAAAAACAGGGAAAAAATCAGGAAAAATGAGAAAAACCAGAAAAGGGAAAAATTTGAGAAAAAGACAGAAAATTTTGGGAAATGAAGAGGGAAAAATCAAGAAAAACTGGGAGAAATCAGGAGAAAATCAGGAAAATCTGAGAAAAAACTGGGAAAAAACCAGGAAAAAATTGGGAAAAAAAGGATGGAAAAATCAGAAAAAAACTGGGAAAAAATCAGGAAGAATGTGGAAAAAAAATGGGAAAATGGGAAAAATCAGGAAAAAACCAGGATGAAAATCCCCCAATCCCATTTTTCCATGGAATTTTAGGAATTGCCTACCTGGGAGGTTGTAGAAGAATTTCCAGACCTGGGAATCCAGGGAGTGGGGAAGGGTGAAATTGTGGATGAGCTGCTCCAGATTTTTGGGAAGGTAGATAGCCTGCTCCTCTTCCAGCTTCCAAAATGTTCGGATGAATCCACGCCTCCTTCCGGCTGGAAACCGTGAAAAAAATCATGGGAAAGCTGTGATTCAAATGCATGGAGTTCTGCCCCTAAAACACCCTTTTATCCTGCCAAAATTTCTATTCCCACCCCCCCCCAAAATATTAAGTTTTAAGATAATTAAATGGGGACTATATGGGGTATTGGGGAAAAATAGATTGGAAATGGAGGAAAAATGGGGAAAAAATGGGATAAAATATGGAAAAATGGGACAGAAATGGAGGAAAAATTGGAAAAAATGTGAGAAAGGAATGGAAGAAATTACAGATAAAATTGTGAAAAAATGAGATAAAACCGGGATAAAATGAGGGGAAAAAATGGGGGAAACTGGGAGAAAAATGGGGGAAAAAAGGGAATAAAAATGGTAAAAAATGAAGCAAAAAATGGGAGAAAAATGGAAGAAAATGGGGAAAATAGGAGAGAACATGGGGAAAAAATTTGGGATAAATGGAGCAAAAGTGGCATAAAATGGGAAAATTGAGAGAAAGTAGATTAAAAATGGGAAAAAAATGGGGAAAAAATGAGAAAACATGGGAAAAATAAAGGGAAAGCAGAGGAAAAATGGGGAAAAATATCAGAAAATTTGGGATAAATGGAAATGAAATTACATAAAAAAAGGGGAAAATGGAGGAAAAAAGGAGAAAAATGGGCGAAAAAATTGGGGAAAATAGAAAAATAGGATAAGAATGGGGAAAAATTATATGAAAATGGGGAAAAATGGGGAAAATTGGATAAAAAGGTGGGAAAATGGGAATAAATTAGGGGAAAATGGCAACAAATTGTACCCTAATTGGGAATGTCCGGGAGTGACTGGCCTCATCCTGAGGTGCTGAGGAAACTGGAACCACACGCGGGGAGCAACTGGGCTCATGCAGGGAGCAGCCACTCCTGGCACCGGGAACCCCGAACCCCTTTCCCGGCCATGCCGCGCCTCCAGCCCCAGCACCCCCGTCTCGGGGTCCCCGCTTTGTGGTTCTGGGGCTCTCCTCTCTCTGGGGTCCCGCTCAGGGAAGCCGCGGCTCTCCCGGGGCTCCCCAAAACCGGGGTCCCCCCGCCCCCGCGGCCCCGGCAGAGCTCGGGGGGCCCGGCCAGGGAAGCCAAACCCCTACCATGGACCGTGGACCCTACCGGCCCCACCGGGGTTCTGCCGCCACCGCCACCGGGACCCCCAAAACACCTCCCGGGGTCCCCCTGAGGGGCATCTGCGGCTCAGCTCTGGAGCCCTGCCATCCCCAAACATCCCCCCCAAAAACCCCAAACCCAGGGACCCCCGGGGTATTTGGGGCGAGCTCCCCCTCCCCGGGCACCTGCGGGATGGGGAGCGATGGTCACGGGGGCTGCGAATTCAGGGATCGCCGGAGCCGCGCAGCTCCTCCTCCGCGCCTCTCCCCACGCTTCCGGCTGCCGCTCCCATCATGCTCCGCGGCGCACATAGAGCTATATTCCGGCCGGGACTTCATCTCCCGTCATGCACCGCGCCTCACCGGAATCCATTGGAGCTGCGCCTCCAACTCCCGTGATGCTCCGCGGCCCATTAAACCGTATTATACCGGCGCCTACAACTCCCATCATCCCCCGCGCCTTAGAGAGCCCTGTTACAGCCCCCCAAGTGCCCGCCCGGACCCCGAAGGGCCCCCAGATTTCCCTCCCTGACCTCCAAGTGCCCCCCTGGACCCTCAGGTGCTCCCCCGAACCCCGAATTGTCCCACAGAATCCCTAAGTGCCCCTCCAAGTACCCACCCGGCTCCTCCAATTGTCCTCCATTCCCCCAAGTTCTCTCTAAATTCCCTCCCCAGACCCAAAACTGCCCCAAATGTTCCCCAGAAAAGTCCCCGTGGACCCCAAAGCGGTCCCTTTTACCCTGTCTGAGAAAATGATAAAAAAATATGATCAAAGGACTAAAAATAGGTGTAATTAGCATAAAGAGGGAGAAATAGTGATCAATTAATTAATGAAGGGAATTGTGGTACTTAGAATCAAAGACCGATAATGTTTTTAGTTGCTAAAAATGTATCAATTCTTTCATATAAATATAAAAATTAGGTTATAAAAATACAGAATAATAGTATTGTAAAAATTAAAATTTTATTTTTATTAATTTATTAGATTTTAATGATAAAGAAAAGTTGATAAATATTCTCAATGTTTTGGGATGTGGGTCCCAGGTGGGCGATGTCAGACATGCTGAGGCTCGGGGTGAGGAGCAGGTTGTCCAAACAGGGGCAGCCCATAAGGGGCTCATTCTTCTCTGTGACCAGACCTCCTAAGGAGACATTCAGCATCAGGATTGTAAAGAGTAAATCGTGACCTCCTGATCAGTACACAAAGATGTTTTACAGTTTGAACAGTAGAATGTTGTCACCGTAAGGTGCCTTCTTTGTTAACATAGCTCATGTTGTGTCATGTTTGTTAAATACCGATGTTGTTGTAACAGCCTTCTGTGTTAAAATATTGTTATAAATTAAATTAGAATTTTGACAACTAGGTCCCTTGGCTTAATGGCAGTTTAATTAAAAATGAATACAGTTTAGTAAAATAATACAGTTTAATAAAAATTAAAATTTATATATATAATCTGCTAGAAATTAAGTATGATTAAAGCATAAGCAAAACCGACCAGGGTACAGAGACTTCCCACCCTGCCTCACATTCAAAACAAAGCACTTCAAGCTAAACTTATATACTGTATGCTTCTACATATTCATTAATTTTCCTGTAAGTTTCCTCCTATTTCCGATTTTTCTGACTTTACGTCACTGTTCTTCACGGCGCATGCCTCACTTGTTGTTAGGGGGTCTTCAGCCTTCCTTTGGTGGTCTTTTGGCGAAGGCTTCTCCTCTTCCTCATTGTCCTTTGCATACCCTTACAGGTTTGCGTGTGTG